GCCCCTTTGAAGATCTTGAACCATGTCTTGGATTTGACATGCTATCTCTCTCTTGGGGCAAAAACCTGGGCTGCTCTCATGTGGCCAGTGGTCCAGCATGAGGACCAGTCGACAGGAGAGATATATTTTGTTTTGAAGGCAGAGTGCCCGGATGGTTCCAGCGTCAAGGCCTGCTGGATTCATTTGTATGAGCCCCAGTATTGGGAAGTCATCGAAACAGAGGCAGTCTTCTGGAATGGCTTCATTTGCCTCCGTCGTTGTGCTACAAGCTCAGTGTCACTTCTATCCTATATGTTGCAGCATCCCAAGTGACATGTTTTCATTTAGGATTCTGTCAACTGTCGACCCATACAGTAAATAGTACAATAAACTTATATAAGTTTTGCTGTGCTTGTTTTTGCTGACTCGACTGAGGGAAATGTCACAAGCATGTCGGACTCTCGCAGACTGCCAGAATCTCGCCGAGCATGTGATCTCCCAGACTGGAAACGTAGACGAAAAAAAGCGAAAGGAGCTGCAACGAATGCGCCGTCCAAAGCTCATGAGCCTGATCGCTTCTCATCACCTTCCGGAAGATGAGGATTTCATGCGCAAAATTGAGGCTATGTATTCGACAGCCAAAGATTCAACAGAGGATGAGGATGAGGATGACATTATCATGGGGGACTTTGTTGATGAGCTGGTTCTTGACGACCTGCTTGCTGAGGACAAACAGGAATTTAAACTGGTCTCAGACGCAGTCAGAAAACGCAGAATCAAAAGGGTGCATCAAACCTGGCAGGCCATCAAGACGCAGCAAGCAAAGGCCAAGGCAAAGGGCAAGGCCAAAGCAAAGACCAAAGCAAAGGCCAAGCCACAGGCCAAACGGAAAGCCAAGAGAAAGATTTGTCGCCCACGTATGTTGCCCAGGAAGCAACCCGCGCCTCCTGATGAAAGTGGTCAAGAGGGAGCAGAAGGCAGAGTGCCAGCACCTCCTGCTGAGGTGCCGGTGGAGCCGGAGCCTGATAATCACGTGGAGGCCGCGGAAGGCAGAGTGCCAGCCCCTCCTGCTGAGATGCCGGAGGTGCCTGCTGCAATCCCTGTCCCAGAGCCTGATGATCACGTGGAGCCCGAGGAAGGCAGAGTGCCAGCCCCTCCTGCTGAGATGCCGGAGGTGCCTGCAGTGCCTATCCCAGCACTCGAGCCACGGGAGGTTGCAGTCCGTGGCCCCCAACATCAGCGGCGGCCGAACCGTGTTGACTACCAAGGGGTATGGACACCTGTTCAATGCCCGGAGTGTCCCAAGATCGCTGGTGAGATGAAGTACGACCCGAATCCTGGTGGCACTGACAAAGCAAAATGGTTTCTCCGAGTTCGTGTGACAGACGGCGGTCTCTTGGAAAGATTCGGAACATTTGTTATAGCTTCGATGTGGTTGCCTGATCTGCTGTGTGTTGTGTCACATTACATGAACCCATGTGTGTCTGGCATTGAAGGCGAGTGGAGCCACCTCGTACCCTATCACTGGGGACGTGTGGCTTCCAAGATGACAGAAGCGCAGGCCAGACAACACGTCATTGACCATAGGCCCTGTTGTGGCCCGACCAGGAGGCCTGGCAACAACTAGAGGATTCATCCTGCGCTGCAAAGAAAAGTTGTGTGTCTGTCTGTGTGCTTGCATTGATGGCAGCGGGTCCTGCTAGATTGGAATGCGTCCGAGAGACTGTGTGTTTCTGCTTGGGGAAGACGGATTGCGAAAGCATGTTCGCATTTTCACACATGTGGAATTTGTCACGTGCAAGCACATGGACAATCATTTCGAGTGCCACAACCCGGAAGCCGCACAAACTAGCACATGTGGTTTGAAGCCGTGCGTGCTTGTGACTGAACAGTAGCCGTCCAGAGCAATGCATTTCGCCCCGATCGAACGAGGAGAGTGTTTCTTCAGAGGCGAGCTCTCCCCAATCTTGATCAAAACCGCTTGCGAAAAATTGGCCAAAGCGCCTGACCAGTGGAAACCAGCTGAGAGATGGAATGAAGTTTATGACGACGTGCCTTGGGAAATCATGGTTCGCTACCTGCGTTACTGGCCACGTATTGGCTCCCGCATTACAGGAGGCCTCAGGCTTCTTCGACGGTACCAAGGCCCCTTCCCGAAGTGTTATCAGGTGGGTGAAGGAGAAGAACCGCTGGAGTTGCCGCGCGTTTCTCTCGTTTGTGATTTTGTTTATGTTTGGAACGACGAAGATGAACAACAACGGCAGTTTGTCCTTCAGATGAAACACCTCTCACTTGTTGCCATCCGTCTCGGTGGTCCGGGGGAACTTCCTGACCTTGATGCTGGAGCAATACCTTTGACCGACCAGCTGAGTGCAAAGTTGGGGTGGGCAATAATTAATGGATCTTGAGGCGGGAAGGCAGAGTGCCAGCAGCTGGGAAGGCAGAGTGCCAGACGTTGTCGCGTCACCCAGCTGTACCCTGCTTCGCCTGCACGTGATTCGCTTGACAGTGTGGTCAACGCAGAAAAGCGCAACATCCAGCAGTTCGTAGCCACTTCACGCGATTTGTGCATCCCTAATACTATCAAACCCTAAAACTATGGCACTCTGCCTTCTAGCCCCAAACCCTAAATACTAAAGACCCTGAAACTCTAACCCTAACCCTTTCATTACCCTCAAACCCTAACACTATGGCACTCTGCCTTCTAACCCCAAACCCTAAATATACTAAAGACCCTGAAACTCTAACCCTAACCCTTTCATTACCCTCAAACCCCTAATACTATGGCACTCTGCCTTCTAACCCCAAACCCTAAATATACTAAAGACCCTGAAACTCTAACCCTAACCCTTTCATTACCCTCAAACCCTAACACTATGGCACTCTGCCTGCTAACCCCAAACCCTAAATACTAAAGACCCTGAAACTCTAACCCTAACCCTTTCATTACCCTCAAACCCCTAATACTATGGCACTCTGCCTTCTAACCCCAAACCCTAAATATACTAAAGACCCTGAAACTCTAACCCTAACCCTTTCATTACCCTCAAACCCTAACACTATGGCACTCTGCCTGCTAACCCCAAACCCTAATACTAAAGACCCTGAAACTCTAACCCTAACCCTTTCATTACCCTCAAACCCCTAATACTATGGCACTCTGCCTTCTAACCCCAAACCCTAAATATAATAAAGACCCTGAAACTCTAACCCTAACCCTTTCATTACCCTCAAACCCCTAATACTATGGCACTCTGCCTTCTAACCCCAAACCCTAAATATAATAAAGACCCTGAAACTCTAACCCTAACCCTTTCATTACCCTCAAACCCCTAATACTATGGCACTCTGCCTTCTTAACCCCAAACCCTAAAGACCCTGAAACTGTAAACCCTGTGCCAGGTCTTCTTCATCCTCGTCTTCTCGGAAAAAACATTAGTTTTTTTTGTTTTAAAGTTTTTAAAAATTTTTAAAAGTTGTTTAAAGTCTTTAAAAGTCTTTCAAATTCTTTTTAAAGTTTGTAAAAGCTTTTAAAAGCGTTTAAAAGTCTTTTAAAGTATTTTTAAAGCTTTTAAATGTATTTTAATGTTTTTAAAAGTCTTTTAAATATTTTAAAAGCCTTTTAAAGTTTTGAAAAGTCTTTTAAAGTTTGCAAAAGTCTTCTAAAAGTTTCTAAAAGACTTTTAAAGTCTTCTAAAAGTTTTTAGAATGTTTTTTCTTGCATTTGAAAGTTTTTAAAAGTCTGTAAACGTCTTTAAAAGCCAACTCTGTCGAAAAAGCCCTGTGGATCTAAACCTTGTGGTTCTGGTTCGGTGCAAAAGGGCAATGATTAAATTAAGTCCCTAACCAAGAACCCAGTAATACCAGCAATGCGAAGACTCTGCTACCCTGGAGCCTCGACCCTCTGAAAACCTCTGACAGGTCCCGGTTTGCACCTGCGCCCGCTTGTGCGACACGCAGCGCGCGGCCTTCGCATCGTCCAGCCCCCAGAACTTAACAGCCCTGGACAGCAGACCCCTAGCCAAAGGGCTTACTATAATAGTCTACAAACCAGACTCTGTATGTAAAGGAACCTCGGCCTGTTGAACGTATATAACCCCACGTTATATGGAGCTCCCTCTAGTATAATGTTCGCGGAAACTAGCAAGAAGAAACGCCTTTTCAGGTTCTTTTTCGATCGCAGTGCCGCTCGGCACACACAAACCACTGAGTCATGCATACTGGAAATGTGGAAATACTTCATGCAGTAGTGCGAAGGTTCTCTTGAAGTTCGGCAGGGGCTTCTTAGGGGTTTGTTTTGCTGCTGCTGCTACTGCAGGGTATATGGAGAGTAGAGCTTCATGGCAAAGTCTGAGGACATGTCGAAAGGCAACCGCGACCGCCGCAGCCCTTTCCGATCGCAAGATCAACATGCCATTGCCATGGAGGCACTACATGTCCAAAGACTTCACAGCAAGCTCGTCAGGTTTGTGTGCCCGGCGATATGACAAAGCCACCAATGTGAGACATTCTGCAGCTACTTAAAGGATCATGGGACTACGTAAGTATAGGGTCATAAGCACAGTTACCCTAATTATGACCCTAGTTACTAAGTCCCATGACCCTTTAAGTAGCCGCCGCAGTAGACCAGGTCATAGACCTTAAGGCCGGCTGCTCCCCTAAACCGCCGCTAAGCCCTACCGTTACCCAGAGGGTCCAAGTACTCCCTATTATAGGACTTTAGGGCCTTATTAGGTACCAAAACCCATAAATAAGGACTACTTGGACCCTTGGTCAAAACAGGGTTTTGAGCATACTTCAACATGGCCTGGAGATAAATTCAGAGGTGCTGGAAATGGAGAGAGCACCCACTTTTGCCACAACTTCCCAGCATGTGGCTTCTCAGCAGAAAAAAACCAACGCGTTAAAGAGACTACCTGAAGACGGGCATATCTCTAGAACTCCGAGCAACACGAACCCGGAGCCCTGCACTAGATCCCCGAGCACTTCACTTAAGACCCTCCCTGTTCCCATGACCTGCCATGGACCTCACAGCAGCTGCTTGGCTCGTGGAGGGTGCCGAGGTTGAGCGGGAACTGGATGACATCGGAACCTTGCCTACGCAGGAAGGGTATAAGGATTGGGGTTTTCATCGGCCTCAGTAGTACTGGTTTAAAAGAAAGGGTGGATAAGGTTTAGGGATCGGTTCGGGGACGTGTGCGGGGCGGTCTGGAGTCGCGGGTGTTGGGATGTTGACCTAGGCAAGTACACCAGAAAGTAGTACTCCCGAACTACTGTGCTTGTGACGACTTTTGTTGTGACCACTCTGATTGTTAACAGTGCTTTTGGTACCATATCATAACATCAGCCGAATGTGTTTTTGCATTCCATCCTATGTAAGTCAAGTTCCCGTGCTCTTGGGGAGATCGCGTAGCTAGAGCCAAAAGGCTGACTGAACGCATCTTGGAGTGATGCAGTCTTCGAAGTGATGATCTGTGCAAGTTTTGGATGGCTGGCGTGTTTTGGCTTACTTCGTTTTCGATCTGTATTTGTCAGTCTCGACACTGGCACCCGAGTGGGTGCACAACACACAGAGGCCCTGCTGCAAACTATCCCGAAGCCTGCACGGAAAGGCATGACTACTTTACTTTCGGTCGAAGGTAAGACACAATACCATCGTAATTTTCTCTGCATCTTCTGTTTCTAGTAACTAGTATAGAGGGTCCTTGGAAGACTATCCGTTCTAGTATATCAGCTCACAAGAATCTCAGGAAACATCTGGATCCGGGGTCACATCACGCGCGTCCTCGACGGAAGACAGCTCGGGGCTGAGAGCTCGGTGCGTGCACGGAGAAGCCGCAAGGTGCAGGTTCAGGTTCGGGAGTTGTGGTTTATGGGAGTCTGGGTTGAGGGGTTAGGATTCAAGTTCTAGGCTTGTGGGGTTGAGGGTTAGGGCTACGGTTCGTTAAGTTCGCTTGTTTTTGGGGTGCCTGACATAGTAGAAGGGAGTCGACAATCGTGAGGATCCGGAATGTCATCATGAATTGAAGCAGCCCCCACAATGGATGTGGCATGGTGCTCACGTGGTGCCGTAACTGTCGACGTCTATGCTACAGAGGATCTGGATCCCTTGGGAGAAAGCTCTTATTGGGATTCGGCATTTGGGCTTAAACCCTAAACCCTAAACCCTGCTTTGTGCAAGCCTCCTACCGAGGCGGACCCTTGGACGCAAGGAAAGGGGCAGTGCATTAAAAGAAAAACCCTAAACCCTATAAACCCTAAACCTTTTTTTTTGGAGGGGGAGGAGGGGGACGGCAATTGAAGCAGCTTCCGACTTCGAAGGCTCCTGGGCTTAGTGGGGGGGGCTGCCTTATACTTAGGAGATCGCCAGTCAGGGTCTGCGTCTCCCAAGGGTTTAGGGTTTACGGTTTAGGGTTTAGGGTTTGGGGAAGTGCAAGAGTCTGTCAACCAGGCTTGTGGACCTCAGCTACCACGACGGGACCGGGGAGCAGGATGTGCCGGTGCCTGGGCTCAAAGTTGCTTGTTGCATATCTGCATTGATCCACACTGAGTCTAGTTGAGACGCTTATAGTCTTCACTGGCAGTGTGGCATGGGGCATGAGAGAACTTCAGGAAGCTTTGCGAATCAAGTCTTAAGTCCAGTCTCAGATCTACCTGCCAGAACTTACCGGACCAGCTCTTACGGATGTGTTCTCAGCCAGCTGTCCATTCCGCTGAGGTCGCGGACCTCAGACCACTGCTGCCTGCGGCCTTCTCCCCACCTCAGAGACAGAGTGTCTCCCCTTCCAAGGTCCAGCTCATCCGAAGCAGTGCGACACTAATCATCCTATGGAAGTTCATGTGTAGGCTCCATGAGGGGGTTCGTGGACCCTGGCGGCTTGATTCTCTGTGCACATCGAAAGCAGAGCCCCGAAATGCAGGCTCCCTTGCATGTACATGGAACCCGTCTCAGATAAACTGCATCAGTGTCGAGAGGATCGCGGCACTCCGGCACCACCGCCTCCGCCACCAAGTGCTCCAGAGGAGGCAACGCGGTGGTCGAATTGAGTTTCCAACACTTCATTTGGAGTCCAAGAATCGCAGTTAAACCGTCGACATCTCATCACCACGACTCAACCACGAAGCCAACCACCGAAACAAGGCCCGAAACCCTGACGGCCCTAACGCACACTTAGCTTTTTCCACCGAGGAGCTGGCACGTCCCAGTCCCAGTCCCTCCCTCACGCAGCGAATCGCTGCGCTCCGTGCAGAGGCAGGTCTACTGGTGTCTCGACATTGATGTAAACAAGTGTATGGGGCCAGCAAAGCGCTGTGGAGCACGGAATTTTATCAGGTCTTTGGTCGGAACGTCGCAGAACTGATTTGATGGGCACCTCATACCGAGGACCGGAATGTCCAGACGTTGAAGGAGCGGCAGGACTGCTCTCCAATCCTACTCGGAGTATTCAGGGTTAGATGTCTCGTCAAGACAAGCCGAGGCCCGCTCTATAAGAGTAGTCTGCACCGACGGAGACTTCACCTGTGCTTTTCGATGCTTTTGGTGACCCCAAGCTGCAGACAGCCTGCCGCCTGATGCTAGCATCCTCAGTAATTATGAGGACCGCCCCTCTTTGTGAAACTGCCAAACAGGATTCGAGCCTTGCGGCCCTCGAGACTGCGAATCAGGGCGTTTCCGAGGTGCACTAGGGAGTTGCATCGGGCCGCACGGAAATCTGCGCATAACATCGCGAAACTACCGTGTGCTAAGGTCTCTTTCAATACGACGGTGTCGGGTTTTCAGTAACTGCGGGCGGCAAGCCCTTTTGGAGGAAATCGTGGAAGCCTTTCTTGACGCTTGATTCGCCACGAAACTGGCAGGCAGCATGCCACACAACGTAGAACCCACAACGGCTGCGATGATTGTTACAGTACACGCACACTCGGTGCATACCATGAAAACTTTGCCCGATGTCTTTGCTTCCCCAAAAACACCAAACTAGTTATATAAAATGCACCAAACCGATGTGGATTTTCAACAGCCTGCTTCCCGATGCGCCAGGCGCAGTCTGGTCTGAGCCAGCGGATGAACTCCGCCAATGAGTGTGGCTGGGTCCGAGAAGATCCCAAGGAGCCCCAAACTCAATTCCACTGGGCAATGCTTATATACCTCATAGTATGCAGGCTATACACACTATACACATAGATAGATAGATAGGTAGAGATAGATGGACAGATAGAAAACCGATCGATCGATGGATGTATCGAGAGATAGAACACCAATTGCGACGTAGTCTAGTCTAGTCTAGCCCAAAGCTCGTTGGCGATTATTCCGAGAAGACTTCTGTGAAAGCACTTGGATTGATCGGGTTGGATTAGAATAGAAACGAGTCGATAGATACCGGGGTACAGAGCCGGAGAGATGCATACATAACTACACGCATAATTTCATACACACCTACCTACCAGCCACGACCCCTCACCCACCCATATAATTAACCAAGACTTGCAACGAACTGAGGCTTGTCCGACATCCAGGGCCTTGTCGCCGAGGCCAAGCGGATCCTCGCCGATGCAGCCAGCAGCTAGACCTGCCGTCTCCTACACTTACCTTTGGCTAGTAGGGCATGGAAGAATGGTAGTGGTAGTAGTAGTAGTAGTAGTAGTAGTAGTAGTAGTAGTAGTACTTGTACCCCGTTTCTCCATTCCCTATACAAACCAAGGGTAAGTACAGGGTCTGACGCCTTGGGATTCAGACTGAAGGTTTACTGAGGGGTCGTCATCTCAAGGATTCAGAGTCTCAGGGCTCTCAAGTTGAGTTCGTTTTGGTTGACAAGGCTTTGGGTAAGGATCCAAGGATCACGACGGAATCACTCGCGGTTGTACGTATACGCTCCATGGACTGGACAGTCTGGCTGAACTATTACGATTTCCTCCACCTCTCAGCTTTTTTCACCAAGGCAACTCCGGTTTTCGAGACCTGGCCGTCCTGGACCGACTGCGGCAGAGCGTGGGACGCGGATCAGGACCTTCAGAGGCTCTTCGCAGAGAATGCCGGCAGCAGTTGCAGTTGACTCCGAGGCGCTAGGAGGAGTTTAAGGTGCCTCATATAGGGACATTCGGTGCATGTGTGTTGCCGTCAAAGTTCTGGGAATGTGTACTGATCATACCGGCAGGTCAGCACCATCGACGGCCACGAGGTCATTGAGGCTGAAAATATCACGCACTAGTGCAATAAGGGCATCCGTTTCGTTTATTCCTGGCTTGGCATGCATTTTCCAGTGCAACATGCAATTCCTTGTCTTATCGTCGTGGGCAACAGACACCTCGTGCAATTCTCTTCATGCACTTGCATTGGCAAACAGGCCCTTCGAGCATTCTGGCTCCTGAACAACTGAAAAACCCATTCTGCGACACACAACGAATCATGTACTGCCCCAATGTACCGGCGATGAGCCAGGTGTTTACTAGAAACACTAACAACATGATCTGTATAGAGAACATTGAACATGCAGCACCTTCACGTGCCCTCGATGCTACCCTGCTACCCTTCCTTTGTGCTACCCTTATAACCCCTTATATAACTTATAGCAAAAGAATCTAAGAGTTAACCCCGTCGCATCTACGCGCGGATGCTTTGCAGGCCTGGGTGCCAGCCCCGACGAGCTCCCGAGGCACCTGCGCGCAGCCGAGCTGCAAGCAGCCACGCAGAACGAGACAAAAAGACGGAGCACGAAGAGACTAATGTAGGAACCTTAGTAAAGGCCCTAAGGTTTTTAAAACAGGTTCCTACATCAGAAAGCAAGAGCAGTAGCAATAGCAGTTATGTTTTTGTCATTTCAATTCTCTCTCTCTCTCTCTCTCTCGCTCTCTCTCTCTCTCTCTCTCTCTCTCGCTCTCTCTGTGTTCCTTCCTCTTCGGTACTTGTCTGTGGATGAACATCTCAGGTTGTGCACCACGCTGCGCCTTAGCGGCTTCCCCTGGCCCAGCGTGTTGGAGACGGCAGTGGAGTGGGTGCGACACCACCAGGCACTCCGTCGGGGGTGTTATTGGTTTTCTGGTTGCAGGGTCATGGAGATTTCTGCCATGTTTGAAGAATAACCTCTCGATGGTTCTCAAGTGTTTAAATCCACCATTCTCCGCGACTCTCATCTCATGTGTTCGCAGGCTCGTCGTGAACCGCAGAGTGTCGGGCCTCCAACCCTTCCAGTGTCGCACGTTCTAAGAGATGTGTCCACCCTTTCCTTTCGGAGAGTCCCGACGATCCTGCCGAGGCATTGGGATTTGACCCAATCCTGATGTTCATGGACGAGCCGGATCCTTCAAAAACAAGCTCTTTGGCATCTGCGCTGGCAGAGAGCCTCAGCTGCTCAGACAGGGCCCCGGGGTGCGCAGCACATGGCTGTTGAGATGCATTTGTTTCTAATCGTTGCTCTGGCTCTAAGTCTCTCAGTCTCTCAGTTCTGATCGAGTGCGAGCCACGTATACCGCACTCACAACACTTCACGGTGCTCCACACCGCAGCCCTCAGGAACCACGAACTGAAACTCCCTGCCCGAAATCGAGCTGCCCCTGCAAACCACCAGAAAACCCATGACTCCATGACTATGATCCCTCAGAGCTCCAAACTCCCATGAATCCACTTAATGCCATTCATGAGTCTTCTCGACCTCGCCAGCTTCCAGGAGCGGTCTCTCCGCGCACCTTGTGGCCGAGGCGACAGGGAAAATTCGCATTCTGGGGCTAAGGGAGTTGATAGTTTCTGGGCTTAAGGGGTCTAGTAGGAGTTTTGGATGTGAGAGCTTGTGTAGTCAGGTCGGTGTGTCTGGCGTATTTTGGCAATGTAGGGGTTCACACTGTGGGTTTAATGACGCTGTGGGGTTTTCATGCCTCAGAGTTCGAGGTTTGGCGATTCAGAGTCATCGACCGGGAGGTTCGGGCCGTTAGTGCTTATGGGGTTGCCGTGCGGTAACCAAACTAGCTGAAAGAAAGCTGTAGACATGTACACAGAGGAAGCACGCGGGATGGGATGGCAGCTATCACCAAAGGGCTCCATGGCTGGGTGGAGGTGGTGGGATCCCAAGTAAGAGTCCGGATACCTTTAAAGGATCCGTAATCCTAACCGTCTTGATCCCACGTTTTGCGGCCTCCAATCTTAGAGCTGCGTAGAATCATCGGTATAGGATCTCTCCAGTTTCGTTCCATATGTGAATCGTTTACGAAGTCTGAACTGTTGTGTCCGTCGAGGACACCCGAAACTTACCTTAAGGGTCCATGTACCCAAGTAGTATATAATGCAGTATATACTTGGGCCCCAAAGTACCTACATAGGGACTACTTTAAGGCCAAAGTATATACTATATATATATATGTATATACACACTATGTGGGTACATGGACCGATGGGGTTAGAATCCCAAGCCGACAGGACGAAATGCGGGCTGGCTGGCTGCAGGCAGGTTCGCTCTGGGAGGCGGGCTCGGAGGTGTTGGGGGTTTAGGGTTTAGGGTTTCAGAGGCCAGCGAACACTCCTCAGCAGCAGGGCCTTCTCGTTTGACGAGGGGCTGGCACACAATCCAAGCCCATGCTGAAAAAGGGCGTGAGAGGCAGCCCACAGCTCGATTGGAGGATTAGAGTGAAGGTGGAATCGCGTCAACAGCAAAATCTGTTTCTCGCAGTCTCTCTGTATGCCTCCTTGTCTCTCTCTCTCTCTCTCTCTCTCTCTCTCTCTCGCACTCTCTCACTCTCTCACTCTCTCTCTCTCTCTCTCTGTCTCCCCCTCTCTCTCTGTCTCTCTCTGTCTCTCTGTCTCTCTCTCTCTCTCTCTCTCTCTCTTTCTCTCTCTCTCTCTCTCTCTCTCTCTGTGTGCGTTTCGTATCCGAACAGCAGGAGTTCCGGCATCAGGTCGAGACTGAGCTCAGCGCGCTTCTCGCCAGGATAGGTCCTTAAACTATATTCTAGTCTGGTAATCCTTCGACGGTAGCATGGCCACACGCTGCCAGGCAGGTGGTAATATAAGGGCCATGATAATTAGAATAGGGTTTGGGGGCCCATTATACCTCCATTTACACAATTTAAGGGAACTCCCAAAATAGCACATGTAATTGTAAGGCTCCTATATCAGGTTCGACTTGCTTCGGAGAGCATGGTCTCTCAGAAGCTGCCTCCGAGCAGTGCTAATCAAAAGTTAAGGGGGAGCCAACTTGTGCCCTAATTGACACAGGGGCCTTAACAACTACCTATATTAGTTTTGGGGCTCCTTACTAGAATTATTGTAGAATATACCACAAAACCCTAGTTTAATTATTCAGGCGCCTAGATCATACAGTTCTCCTACGGCGATGCACCCAGGAAGCAGATCCTGAACTGTGCAAGCGCACTCCGTTTCTGCCGTTCCTGCTCAGAGCCTCAGGCTGCATTTTGCTATGTCTTGTGGGAGTTCTCTTATTTTGGGGTCCTTTTCATAAGGGTGCCGGACTGAAAAGAACCCTGATTTAGAAAACTACCTATGTAGTCATGTGGCTAGTTCCGTAAATCAGGGTCGGGTGCTTTTTTGGGTCCTTTTCATATGGGTGCCGTACTACATACTTCGACCTAAAAAGGAACCCTCAGTTGGAGAACTACCCATGTAAAACGGATGTTAGTTGGCTGTTTCGAGGCTTCGAGCTTCGGGGTCTTCATCCCGAAGGCTTGGGGCTTACACCTGTAGCCCCAAACAACCTACCATTCTTGGGTTTCGAATCGTGCCGATCCGGTAAGAGCTCGAGATGGCGACAGTCGGAAGCAGATCCCCCAAGCAGGGTATGCAGCATACGCATACTAGCAACCATGAGAAATCTGAACATGGTGACCACGTGCAAGATGTAAACACAGCATCACCGGACCTATATCCAGGAACCAGCTCAATGGCTTCTGAGTGCAGACCTCGACGAGGCAGTCGTCATCGATGGTGACTCTTCTGAATCGTAGCCACGCCACTCCGAGCCCAGCTCTGTTTATTGAAAGCTGCAGCATGGCATGAGCTGCAGAATGCCTGCAGAATGCAGCTCCGTTTTGTGTTCTTTGCTTTAAGGCGATGTTGCAAGTCACTTCGGGTCTATTCCTGGCAACGTTGGCCAGGTTGTGTGGCTTGGCCCGCATGACGTTCATGTTGGAGCCTTGGCTACTCTTTCACGGCCTTCAAACCCTGTGCCCTAAGCAATGTAATGAAGCGCCCAGGTACACAAACCACGAAGCTGTGACGGGTGCAGACGCGTGCTCCACCTGGTTCACGCAGGCTCTGTTCACCTTTTCTTCGCCACACCCTGGTCAATACAACCTTACAACACGAACTAGACACTGTGCCATAAGACTTCGTGCGACATAAACATATTCCCATGTGTTTCGTGGCCCAGCCCGAAAGAGGTCCAGCAGTTCAAGATCTCGCCTTTGACCAAGCTGCCCTTTATGGCCCGGCGGTTCCCGGATCATGATGAATCCCGGCCTGAGCGCAAAGCTTTGAGAAGTTGGGTCGGGAGGCTGTTGCACAGTAGTCCATATCTGTGATTCTGCAAGAAACACCAAATCCCAAGGGTATGTACGGCAGCATCGTTCTTGAAATCCAGTCAGGCCTGCCTCATGTGGGCTTCACAGATTGTCGCCAGCGACCCGTTAAGGTCGTCTAAATCCTCAAGCCCAGGAAGAGCCACAGATCCTGGATCATCCCGAGGGCGTCGGCGAGAATACCCTCGCCTACTGGAGGCCCCTTCTGCTGTCCTTGAGGTCTCTCTTGAATTGGGAGTTTCCGAAAATTAGGGGTACTTCATTTCGGGGTCCTTATAATAAGGATCCTACTAGTTAGGGTAATTACCATATTAGGGTCACCTATTCTCGGAAATTCCCAAATGCTTCTGGGTTGCTGGTTGACAATAACTGGAGAGCCTCGGTTCATCATCTGCAAAGGATCGTCTAGGAAGGAAGTAGGAAGCCAACTCCAAAGGAGGGTCTGAGGAGGTCCAGGGCTCAGGGCGTATAGGGTTTACACATGTTCCGGCTTAAAGGGCTTATATAGGATGTGGCTAGGGCGTTTTAGGCTCTGGGATGGGTTCCGCCCAAGGTTCCCTTCTTCTGTCCGCCGCCTTTGCATCACACCAGGCGCATACATTGACATGTTTTAAGATCTCTACATAAGCAGGTTCTATCTTCCAGCAGACAGAGAAGGGCAGACGCATAGGTAGGTAGTACAGGGGCCTTATTTCTTAATTACCTATACTATTTTGGGGGCTCCTTATTATTACAGTATAGTGGGCCCCAAAAACCTGTTCTAAGGCCCCTATATTATGAGGTATACCACAAAACTTGGATGATAGCTCTCCGAGCTTCAGCCTGACAGGGCGCAGAACGCACGCCTGGCGGAACAATACAACTTCCGAAAGAGAGCTGCCGGTGCAAGCTGCGACTTGCCCGAAAATGAGGGATTGAGGGCTCGGGGCGGATCAACTTCAACGAATTTCACGGCCATTTAATTAGGGTTTATGGTTTCAGAGTTTAAGACTTTAGGAACAGTCTGAGCGCGCAGCAACTCTTTGAGGCTGCTCCTCGGAGCCCGCAGGAACCCCTCTTTCATGGGGCAGTATACGTGTCTCCAGGCATTGCGACCTACCGTGCCCTGCTTCCCCGCTCTGCGCTTTGGGGTGAGAGTTTGTGTTTCGTAGCTCGAGTCCAGCTAGAGTTTTTTAAACTGTCACCCTTAACCTACATGTGATTATAGGCCCGAAGCATCCCTAACCCCTGAACTCTGTAAGCTTTGAAACCTCGGCCGTAGATCCTGAACAGGCCCTACTTACAGGCCCAGGAGACTTAGTAAGTAGGTTACAAGTATATAGAGCTTTAAGATGGTATAAGTAATTACCCTAATTAAATGGAGTTACCCAAGTATAGCCCTGCTTACAACCGACTTACTACGTCCCCTGGGCCTGCAAGTAAACCCTATAAGCCCTAAACCGCAGGCAGCTACTTCGATGGTTATGTCCGCGGAAAGGCCGCCGTCCGGCTCGAGGCGATCAACGAAGCATCGAGGCTTTCAGGGTTTTGGGGTTTGGGCGTTCGGGGGTTTGTTTTTTTGTTTTGGGGGAGTTTGTGCCGTTTTGGGGTTCCCGGGCTTCGGTTTTGTGGCTTTGTGTTATGGGGGTCCAGGCTTTAGGATGTCGGATATCGGCCATATGCAGTTTTGAAGAGTTAGTTTGGCAAGGCCTGGTGTGCACCGGTGGCTGGAGCTTTCTCCTGGCTTCAACACTGTGGTGACCCACCCTGGCAGCGCCTCCATGCTCCACTACCTGAACTGTGGAGGCCGATTACAAGCGCGAGCCGTGTGAGTCATCCCAAGAATCCTCATACAGAAGCCTAAGCAATTCCACAGGGCTCCTTATTCTCAGTATACGAAAAAGACCACAACCGTAGTATAATTATTAAGGCTCTGGTATTTTCTTCATGTCCGGCCTTCATGTCTGATGCCTGAAAGCCTGGGAGGATTGGATTGGTTTGAAGCCAAGTGACCTGGACTTCAATTGGAGGGGTAAGCTTCAGATTACTTTGTGTGATTAATGCTTCCTACCTGAGCAGTTGTCATAGAGACGCCATGAAAGCAGGTACGAAAGTAGATCTGCGTTGCAGTCAAGGTACCAAATCCGGGGCTCCGAGGAAGCCAACCGCCTCTGGTTCCATGTCCTAGCGCAGGACTACTCAACCGATTGCAGGTTCGGTTATGGCAAATTTCCGGCAGGAACAGATCAGGGCAGCACAATCCAATTGGATGTACCCACAACACTTTGCATTGACACGGTAGGTGGCTGCATGAACCAGGGGGTCAACAGAGTGCAGAGAGTGGCTTGTAGGCTGCTTCATGCGTGAGATGCTGCATATCTGTACACTGAGATGCAAAAGTGATGTGGCCAGATGCGTTTGATGCCAGGAGCGTGCGAAGATGGGGCGAGCAGCACTGAAGGAGTTGTACGATGATGTCGTTCGGCTCCGTTCAAAAGCTCGTGCCGGTCTTGCTAATCTGTATACAGATACGTATAGTTCATGATCATAATATTTCTTACCCCGAAACCCCATTTCAACAGTAAATCCACTGTATCCAGTCCTGTCGAGGCTCTCTCGAATTGTTGAGCCCTCATCCTCTCAGGTCTTGTCGGTTCCTCAAGCTGCCTTGGACGCGCAGGTCGATGAAGGCAGAAGTGGTGGACTACAGAGTTTATGGGGTTTTAGGGGTTGGGGCAATTGGTATGAGTAGGGTTTATGGGGTTTAGGGCAGTCCCAGTTAAAGGTCCAGGCTTTGGGCCTGTCTCAGACAACCCCTGGGGGAGTGCGAACGCAACGATCGACATCTTCCAAATATTCAAGATGGGTGTTGCTCATGTCGCATGCAGAGACCTGAGGATTAGTTTGTCCTCCAGTTCCGTTTTGTGACGATGCTTTCGATTTATGCACAGATGTGAGCATCATATATGGTCGTCCTTTTTCACAACGGTAGCTGTGGACAAATTGATGGCTACCTGTGCGAGGCTTCGTTTCCTCCCTGGGGCTGGCGATTCCGTCCAGCCAGGCGCGAACTGCCAGCGGGTCGCTTCAATTCGAGCCACTGCCATGCCAGCAGTTCGGAAACGCGCCGCTCACAAAAAAACGAAATAGAAGGGAGTTTATTATCACTTGCCGCCAGGCGTTGGCCTCTGCCTTTCGAGGCTTTTGGGGCTGGGCAGCTGTGGGACTCGGGGATGGCCTGTATGTGTCGTGGAGGCACGTAATGAATTGATTATGTAAGTATACAGTGTCTGGATTTGGGATTTAGTCGGTTTATTTGAGGTGGGCCAACCTGTGCAAAGCTTGTTGCTCTCTTAAAGACCATTGTATGCTTGACGGCCTGTATAGCAGTTAACGGTTAAAACCTCATGACCAGCGACCTATCCCTTAAGCCCTACTGCAAACCAATTAACCGAGGTTCATATCCCGTTGGCTTCTGGCCTCGCAGATTCCCCAGGCCCGGCAGTTCATTCAGAATTAGCGGTTAGGCCTAGGCAAGACGGGACGTGCTTTTTTCTGTGGGCTTTCAAAAAGCCAGTGTTAAGACTGTGATTTCGAAGGTTGTGCCATGAGCCCAGCATCTCAAAGCTTGCTAAATCAGAAGCCAAAGGCCAGAGAGTAGCTTGCGCCAGAAGCTGAAGGTCATCTGCCTCTGCAGCAAGGCATGGATGCGGCCCAGGGCATGGGCAAGCCTGTTCGGTAACTTGGCGCCTGCGGGCTCCTATCTCTGTGGCTGCTGGCTTCGATGGAAGTAAACGGATGTCAGGAAGGGGTAGCAAAGCAAAGCTCCTGAGTTGAACCCGAGTCATGCTACTGGTGAAGAAGCTTGGGTTTCTGTGATGGAGGCCCCGCATGTCGCAAGTACCCCTGGATTCGGCTTCCAGCTTCAATTGCATCATGCCTATTGGGTTTCCCGACAAGAAAAAGTTTTGGTCCATGCAGAGGCTCCAGCTAAACAAGAGTGAACTGAGAGTGAAGGGTGGCAACTGCTCGAGTGAATGCGCTTTTGGCCACGAGTTCGTGCTGTTCCTCTCTGCTTCGTACATGGAATCAAAAAGTTGTTCAGCCCCTTGAAGCTGACCCAAACCAAGTCTCGCGACTGGTATGTCTTTGTGTTTTTTTTTTCCCCCCCTGGTTGTTTCCTTGACAGGTATCTCTTATCTCCTGGGGAGTGCTGCGGTGGCCCCATGGTTCTGGGAGTCGAGACGCCGGTGCTTTGCGCGACTGTTCCTCCGGGCCAGCGCGGTTGCCGGGCTATAACAACTGCGTGTGTGTCTATATGTGTGTTTTATATATACATAATATATATATATATATATACATACAGATAGATAGACGTGGGCATGTCTAATAATACGCACAACAACAGATGCATATAGGTATTTGTGCCTTTTTATCTAACTCCTGTACACCCAGTACATGGAGAACATGAGGCCTCGGATCTTGGGCCGTCTCGTGACAAAATCCCACCACCGCAGAGCATCATATACGCGGCTCAGACACTTACTTAGCAGTGGCATGCCGTCCCTTTCATTTAAGCTGACCTGTCTGACTTTCATTCCTGGTTTCTGCTGCATGACAATCTTTACACACAACACGCTGTCTTTCGGTTCGGGGCCAAGGGTATGCCTGGACCCAACGCTGTCACCCAAATCGGGTCGTGTATTCGTGCACAGACTGCCGCTGTTGTACTCAATGCCTTGTCTCAGTGCTTGCACGACCAGAGGAAAGGCTGTATTCACACGGTCATGCCGCTTGTCTCAACTGTTGAGTTTCGTGATTACATGAAGCCTGGTGAGCGCAACATCTGTTAGGCCAGGCACTTCGGCAAGATGCAAGTCCTGGGTGGCTCCGTTGTGCGGGTTTGGCGTTTGGGCGTGCTACAGTACACCAGCCTTTATGGGCTGTGCTGCAAATGCCACACAACGAGTCGTTTCAATGGTGTTAGTCGCAGCAGGCAAAGCAAAACCTTCCGAGCCCAGGTCATGGTTAGAAACATACAACATTACCTGGGCTCGTTCGACAGCGAGATTGCCGCGGCACATGCGTATGATCACAAATTGCGAACTTTGTGCCCAGATGATGAGATCCGCTTGCAGAAGTCACTGAACTTCCCAACCATACGGGAAGCATCTCTGTTCGTAAGTCAGCAAGAGAGGCGCCGGCAAGCTCTCCAAAAGCATTCTGAACATGCAGGCAAGGAGGAGGAGTCATTTCGTCGCTTGCAGACCCGCTTTATGGCATCGCCCCAAGCACTGACCTACGAGATTTTGCGCGTTTCTGGATCTTCGAAGGTGGATGCCATATTTCAGACACAGCATTCAGCCGCCGGGGGTACACCTTTGCAGCTCAAGTCTGCCAGTGCAAGGGGCCACCGACGGGATGCTTTCGCGTTTAGCAGGGTATGTGGATATGACGGCATGTTGGTTATCATGATCGCCCTTGACCACGATCTCATGTGGGCGGCAGAGGGCGCATGCATCGGACAGAAGACACTGCGAATAACCCTTGGTTCAGATGTGGATCGAAGGCTGCGTGTGAACGACATCGGTGCAACTTTAGAAAAGTGCTTTCGACGGCGAGAGATCTATCCGCTTTTGTCTCTCAGAGAGGCAAAGTTCCGCTGCGGCCGGACCAACAAGGTAGAAGAACAGGCCCACTCTCTTCTGGCCATCGTCTTCGCCGGCATTGACTTTCGGCTTGAGAGGGCTGTGATGCAAGCATCCGCAGTGGATTCCTTGCTCCTTGACGGCCGGTGCGAGCTCAAATGGCGTGTACAGGAGAAGGCATCGAACCTGTCGAAAGCAAACCGTTATGCGATTAACCTCTGGAGGCGTGCAGGAACGTGTGGTCGCCGTGCGTATTCGGAATCGGAGTTTGATGTGCTGCTGGCGGCAATCTTGAATGATGGATGCCTGTCTGCACTTTTCGCTTTTCCATCACATGTGCTGGCAAAGCATGGCTGGACCATGTCCAAGAGGGAAACAACCAAGAGGAGGCATGCCTGGCAACTTGAATACTTCGTGGACTTGCGCAGTTGGTCTGGAGATCCAACACTTCCTGCTTCAATACGCAGGTGTCTGCAGCACTTGATGCACAAGCTTGCGCATTCAAGCCCACCACAAACAGGTGCTTCTGCGGAGCAAAACAAAAAGGGCACCTTGTGTTCCACGCTTCTCAAGACGAGGCACGCATTTCCAGCTTGGCACAGATTGCCTGTGTGCACAGGGAAGGGTCCTTGGAAAGGTCATGATTCCCTGAACTGAACAGTGACCATGCTCTTTGATGGCAATAGAAGGAGGAATAAGAAGAGTTCATTGGATGGTTGACTGAAGCATGCGTCGGTTTAGGGTTTCGAGTTGTCCTGCAACAATAATAGTAGTTCAGGTGTGTTGGGGAGATGAGAGGCAGTTTGCTTTCGACTGTTTTGTCATTGCCGAGGCTTCTTGGTTCTGGATGTGTCCCTAGCACGTCAACCCACCTCCGACTTGGGCCTTTATGTGCCTTTGCTCGTGAAGGTCAGGCAAGCAGCGCGGAAGGGGTGCTTCGGCAATGGCTGCAAGTAGCCAGCAGTTGAATGTCTTTTTCAGTTTTCAGCATTGGGCTTTCTGGCAGAGATGCTCTGCTGGAACCTCTGGTAAGCCCTAGAGCCCTAGAGACCACCATCTGTTGTACTGGGAGGGTGGGAGGGAGGAATGGCCTCTGAAGGCTAAGAAGGACTGGGGGTGTTGCAACAAAAGCAGGACTTCAAACCAAACACGCCAAGACAGCCTTGCGAACGTGCGCCTGTCCAAGCAGTGTCGGCCTCCAACAACGGCGAGATTCTGAGCGCATTTGTTTGGGGTGCTGGGTAATAACTTTGCATCACGGTGCCTGCGATGAGGTATGTGTCTCCAAGTCTTTGCCGGCCGAGTCGCAGACAAGCTTCGAGTGTATGTTGCCTGGACGCAGTCAGGCCAAGCCACAGGTGCTGTTTCGATGTTTGGTCCGATACATTGAGAGCCTTCTCATTTTTGAAACCGTGGATTGAGTAGCGCGCTGTGGAGCCGTTGGACAAACCCAAAGGGTCCAAGTATCATTATATGGTATATACCTAGACCCCCCAAAATACCCTATAAGTATATACCATAAGGATACTTGGGCCCTTTGGACAAAGGTCTCCTATATCCTCTGCGAGCTCCGGATGGCGATGTCGCATTTTGACCCACAAGTCGCTGGGCAGGAGTTTTTTTTTGTCAAAGCGCCACTGAGTTAGGAAGTCCTGGGCATGCTGACCCGGAGCTGCCAGTGCTCGGCCAATATTACATTATATATATATATATACATATATATATATATATTATTGTATTATATTATATTATGTATGTATATGTATAGGTGCTGGGATGGTCGGCGTGTGCAGTGTGAGCAGGTGGTCACGCCAGAGCTCACAAGTCGCTTTCTGGATAGGCTGTGGCGGCGCCGCCAATTCCGAATCTCGCATGCAAAGCAGCATGTACATGTGACTGTAAACATGAACAATGAAGAACAGGAGACAGGGTGTGCCGGCAAGAAGCGCTTATTCTACGGGCATGCAGAGACCGACTGAAACCCAACTACTCTGAGGAGTCTGGGCCGTTGAGCCATGCATCTGGGGTTGTCTTCGAGCCTTTACCAGGTGCTGCGGAGGTGCGCGGGTAGCTTTATAGTAATTTATGACCACTGTGCATCGACCTTTCCCCGTCATGACTTGTTTAGACTCTACCCGTGATTTCTGGATCGTTCCCATATACCATGGAAACCGCAAGAGGCTCAATTAAGGCAATGGCCGATGATGGTCATCAGTTTCGGTGTGCTGAGATTGTTCGTGATCGTTCAAATTCAAGCAATGGTCATCGTGTCCGGGTATTTGGCAGTGAGTCCCAGATGCAAGGCATGCTACGTGTATCATCTACACCAGGGCAAGGTTTCACCTGAACCGCAGAAATCACGACCGCAGCCAGATCTCCCAAGCTGCAGTCCTTGTGAAAGGTCGCAGAAGATCTGACCTTCACAGCCGACTTGGCCTTTGAACTCGAGTCTGCGTCTCCTGGCGTGCACATAGTGGTGAGGGACAAAATCTTGCATTTCCCATTATAAGGAAGATACCATAATTTCCATAGTTTAGAGTCCTTAGGGTCATGCAAGATTTTGTCCATCAGCAGTAGTGGTGAGGGCCAGATCCAACTAGTGAATCCGCGTCGTTTGGTAGGCAACCTACAACACCTTGCAGGACCTTGCCCGAGGGCTTGGACGTCGCTCACTCCGTGTTCTACACGGCCTACCAGGACCCGGCAACAGACAAGACGAAGCATTCCTTAGCTGGGGTCGTGAATTTTCTTATAGTGTCAAAAAGTTATGGGCGCCACAGGACATTGATGGACAACTGCTCTCTGATGCCGGGTCGGCGGGCTTCGGCGGGCGGAACTTGGAGCTCACGTGCCCATGGCTCAAGATATGACCTCGTCGAAGGCGCTGTTCTTTGTATGGAGTTGTTGTGATATGTGCAAGAGGTTGTGGCGATCGAATCAGTGCCAACTGCCCACAAGTAGAGCCAACAGTCTCTGCGGCTTCGTCGCGTGCTGTTGCAGAGTCGGCGGAGCTGAACATCACCGTGCATGGCGTTCGGCAACACATGGTGATGGTCGTGCCATGGCATGCTGCCCAGGTATGCAGAGGTGGAGTTTGCCCCTTTCTGTGCCCTTCTGCAGAGAGTCGCCCAACCTCAGCCAGGACGGAGTGTCCATGCGAGCTGCCAGTTTTTAGCTTCAGCTTCAGCTAAACGAAGCCTTCAACATTTGGACGTGTTCAGGCCTCTTGCGACTCTTACGAACCGAAGCCGCTGGCCCCGGCTTGAATCCAAGTGCAAACCAAGAGTAGTTTTAAAGCCACAAACCCTGCCCGGTGTCATACGAGAGCCTCCTTGTACTTCCGGTATCTTACGGTGATTGAGACCTATTGTACCCAAGGTTCGAAGCCCGAAACATCCCGAAACCATAAGTAACCAAACCCTGAACGTCCTGAACCCCAAACCATTCACGGTTTTTGGGCTTAAGGACAATAAGCCCCGAGTCAAAAAAACAACCCTAAATCATATGCATTGCCTTGCGAGTGCGATCGGCAGAGCCCCAAGTAGATCCGAAACCATTTCCAGCAGAAGAGCCTTTGTTGAGCTTTATAAACCCCATGAGTGCCAAAAAAAACCTAAATATCCCAACCTCACTCACTCACTCACTCGCGATGCGGTCCCAAGGGTCCAGAGCGAAAACCTAGCGTGCACTCCCAAAAACTGGACTTGCTGTATCCCAACCTCCCTAAATCCCAGAACCCTAAACTCCCTGAGCCGCCAAAGCCCCAAACTCCTTGAACCTCCAAAGCCCCAAACTATTTCAAACAGAGGTGCAGGGGACTTAGTATGTAGGTTATAGGCGGAGTCATAAGTGCCCTAAATGGAGTTACCCAATCAATATAACCCTGCGTATAACCGAGTTACTCAGTCCCCTGGGCCTCCAAGTAGATGAGGAGAATAAGCAAAACCTTATTTTAGAGTCCACACCCTTCTAAATTCCTATAAACACTAAACCCCCACACCTACTTGAGACCCTTTGGAGAGCAGCTGTGGTATTCCTTGGCATATCTATCTATCTATCTATCTATAGATTTATATAAATATGTATATACATACATGTTTTTGCAGATCCCTAGACTCTCAAACTCTAAACCCTAAGTGCCTTCCCTGTGCGAGCGTGAGCGTCGAAACCCAAAACCCCAGACGCCTACTTCAGACCTTTAGGAGGGAAAAAAGACCCCTACTTCAAACCTTTAGGAGAGACCTTTCTTGACCTGGGCAGCGGCACGGGTCGAGCCCTGCTGGCCGCAGCCCTCGGCTTCCCGAGCCTCCGTTGCTGCCGAGGCACAGGGGTGCCTTACCCAAAGGGTCCTATGTACCGATATAGTAGAATGTAGGGTTTCCATATTAGGAATTACTATCATGACTTAGGGAAGTATCCCCCATACCAGTACATAGGACCCTTTGGGTTAATGCTTTGTTTGTCTTTTTGGGTTTGGGTTTAATGGTTTTGTTTGCCGGGGGAGGGGGGGATGATGTTCAATGTTGTTTGGGTGCTTTAGGGGTTTGATGGACCTTGCATTTAAAATCTAGGCTTATTTGTCTCTTGGACACTACAGTGTTCACGTTGCTGTCGGCATGTTACCGCTCAGTGGTGCTGCTGCTGGGGCAGTGTGAAGCTGAACTCTCGTAACCACCCATAAACGCGAGTTTTGCTGTGTTGGTTGTTTTCATAGGTTGGTCGCAGGTTGCTTCGTTCGAATGCTTTTAGGCAAACATTGAAGAGTATGTAATTCCCACTGTTCCTCGATGCATCACATCTGAAGCTTAATTTCACAAGCAAAACGATAATGTCCCCTTCAAGTCCTTTAATACAGCTTAAGACTATTATCATATGCCTAAAAACCCATACTCCCCTGATATTTATCGAGGCTACGAGCTACTTGAACCGCTCCACGCCGCTGCAGAGCGCGCGGCGGCGAGCGCGGGGAGCCTGGCAAGTGGGCCACACGGCCGCAACGGAAGGGTTTGGTGCTTTCGGGTTTCAGGGCTCGGCTCTACCTTGTGGTATACCACGGTTTAGGGTTTAGGGTTTTGGGTTTTGGGTTTTGGGTTTAGGGTTTAGGGTTTTGGGTTTAGGGTTTTGGGTTTAGGGTTTTGGGTTTAGGGGGTACCACATCGACGAAATGACGAGCTGCAGGGACACGGCTTACAGTGGGTTTGAAGTGTATTCTCTGTTCCTGTTTCGCCAAACTGTCATGGACCGCTTTTTGTTCCGAGAGATCCAATCACAAGCACAAAGGTTTCAGGAATCTTGTTTCAGAGGGTCAGAATTTGCGGAACTTCGTAGGCCACGGGCTGAAGAGGACTCGACAGGGTGTTCGTTCTGAATAGATTGAGAAGTTTTGGAGCAGGCTTGCAGTCTTTCGGAGTTTGGTTTGAGTTTGGTATGGATCATCATGCAAGACTAGATTACTGTACTGGTTTGTACCATACAATACTATAACATAATAGATTCGCTAGACCGCTGGACTGTATTATACTGCACTCTACTATACTATACTGTATGGTTATGCTGGAACATGAAATCCAATTGCTGTACCGACAGACATCCTACTCGTAACATCCACTGCATCGAGGCACGGACATCTCTTGCCGCATTGCCCAGAGACTCCAAGATCCCTTAATAAAGGGAGTAGCCTTACATTATAGTAGGATACCAACTATGATCTAAAGAATATTCCGTAATTCAGGGGAAAATTGAGTCTCTGGGTTCACCTTTGTCGAGGCAGCTGGCCCCGGTGGACCTTCGCATGCAGAGCTTCCTGGGCTCAGATGTTGCGTGGGAGGAGGAGTCTATCTTCACAAACTTATAAGTTTCCCCTGAAATGACCGTGGGAGGCCAATCTTACGATTAGTAGTTAAGTAAGTTTAGGTGTTCATTAGTTGTGTGACGATGCTACGGAAGTCCGATCGTTCTCCCTGAGCCCTGGAGGAGGATGTAGATATCGTTTGGGTCGCTTCACTGTGTTTGCGGCTGCTTGGCTGCAACGGAGCTAGCCGTCCAGCAAATAACAATCGTGAGCAAAACGGTCCTCTGATTGTCCTAGCGGTCCCCATATTGAGAATTCTATAAGATAATATAATCCCAAAAAGGGACTACCCTGGGGCCTATGGGCACCGTGATAGTAGGCTTCGGCAGAGAGTCCACTAGATCGCCGACGTGGGGTCTGACTTTCGGGCTTTCAGGTTGAATTTTTTTGGGGCCGACTGAGCCCTAAACCAACTCAAACCCTACAGTCTCGTCCGGTTTTGAAGGGGGGTATTCAAAAGATTAATGAGGTGTCCTCGGTGTTCCTAGGGACAGCTATTGTTGTTACAGTGAACCCAGCAAGTTGGAACATGGATTTAGGATGAGTAATGCTGGGATTGCTCAGATTTTGTTTTGAGGGCATTAGGATAATGATATTCCAAGTTTTCAACCCTAAACCCTAAACCCCTAAACCCTAAACCCAGTTCAGGATCCACTCCCAAATGGGGCTGAAGCTCCCCGATCGCCCTAAGGCCCGAGACGCTGGCAGAAGTCCGCGCCCGCGCTACGCGCCTGCGGCCGGGTGCCAGGATTCTGCTCGGCCCTGAGAGGACCATCCGATGTTTACAGAATGTTAGGGTTTAGGGATGTTAGGATGACCGTTGCGGTCGTAGTGATTTCTCACATTCTGAGACTCTTTACGTAATTAGTTGATATTAGTTGTCAAGTAGGAGATGCAGCACACCTGTGTATTCGTTAGCCGCTAGTGTATGTGCATGCCAACATGACATGTGTTTGTGTATATTTGTATAGTATGTCATAGAAATTGTTGCATCTTGTGGCATGTCAGCCCCGTAGGCATGCATGTAGATTCAATTCTCAGACATGTTAACGTAGCCGTGGGTATACATATATTGCCTAGGTATATGTAGACACGGAGGATCCCGAGCTGAGGTACACGGGTTCAAAGGTGTAGGGTGGAGGTGCATGCATGCGTGCATACATGCACGTAAGCATGCATGCAATGGAATGGATCATATAACTTTGGTGTAGCGCCGGGTATGGTAATGTAATGAAATGCATGTAACTTAAGGTTGTGTCTTATTTTGTATTTTAATGGCATACCCCTCTTTACATTGTTCATCCATACACATGCGCACACTGCTAGAGTCAGCCAAGAGTGCTTACACATAGCTGTATAAATTGGTTCTACAACATTGGACAGCAGAGACTTCGAGTTCGTCTGGGGCAGAATTGAAGCTCTATAGCCCAATGCCCGAAACACGCTAAACGCTTGCCTAACCCCCAACATCCCAGTACCCTAAACCATCCCCAGAGACCTCGTCAGGCTTGTCCGAGTTGCGAGAGCGTAAACCATCCTGAACCTCAAAAGCCCAAAACCCTTAAAACAAAAATGAGACCCCTTCATAAACCTCAAAGCCCAGAACCCTAAAGTCAAGAACACTAAGAAGCCTGAAGCCCTCTAAACACAACAACTTCCTGAGCCTCATAAACCCCAGAAGTCCTAAGAACCATGGACCCTCACTTCGCGGAAGCCGCGCCGGGCTTCGAGCAGATCCTGGTCGACGGTGACTTGCTGGATTTCTGCTTAGGGTTTAGGGTTCACGGTTTAGGGTTCAGGGAGTTTTTGGGTTCAGGATCTAGAATTTCGGGTTTGGGGTTCAGGGTTTGGGGCAGTTAGAATATAGGGCTTACAGTGCAGCAGTGCAGCAGCAGCAGCAGTTCTATGGGGTTTCAGGCTTTATTCAGTGTTCAGAAGATTTTCCAGATGGGATTCTTATGATATGGTGATAAGCTTAGAACTATTGGTTTCAAACGGATTACAATATGGCTTTTGGTTTGGAGTTTCATTTCTTGCAGGATCAGGGTTCCGGGTTTAGTATTCAGGATTTGGAGAGTGGGGTTTACCCAGAGGCCCCATAGTACAGTAGTTCCTTGTTGGGATAACCTCCAAAGATTCTATATATGAACCACCAAAGGGAACTACTTTGGGGCTTTAGGGTAGGGTTTTGGAGCGCCAATAGCAGCTCAATGGGCTTCAGGCTTTATGCGGTAACCAGAAGGTCTATCAGATGGGATTCTTGTGAGAAGGATAGAATTAGTCGTTTCAACTGGCTTTGTGTCTTTGGGTTTCATTTTGTTGTAAGGCTGTCAGGTTTGATTTTTGATTCATGGCCATAGGCGCGAACTAACGCCTGCTCCTGCACCAAACCGGCAAGCATCCACCCAAAGCGCACACAGGCAAGCTTACTCCCACATGCATCTCCGAACCCTTTGCTATAAAATGCTCAAGAAGGTGATTGAGAGGATGTTGCCGTTACGCAATCCTCGTGATTTTTCCGCGTAATGCATATCAACCTGGCAGTATGTACATACCATCTACCCATAGACTCCATAGTTGCTTTTGGGGATTCAAAAGCAACTACTATGGAGCCTAAGGGTAAAGCAAAGTCCAACCGAGGTGCCACGCGGATCCCAGTGGAAATGAGTTTCGGAGAGGCGACTGTCTACGCCGTGCGCCGCGTGTGACATCGGAAATAGACTGCTGCTTAGGGAAAGCTGCTGGTAGCCCGCAACTATGGGCTCGGAAGTGGTGCAACTTAGGTATTCTCTAGACGAGTCGGATGATAAGCTGATAAACCAGGATTGTCTTAGCTACAATCCTGTTACATGCTGGCCCCAGACCGTACATAAACACAGATGAGAGCTTTAAGGCTTCTGTCCTGGGTCCGGACAGTATCTATAGACTCAAACACCCGAGTCTCTCCCTTAATCTATGTCATCAGGGCTAATGCAAAGAGTTGCCTATCAGCTGCCACCTGAGGCCCGGTGACGTCTCCAGGCAAAAGTCGCCTGAGTCCACTCCGTCTCCATCACCCGCCGCGAAATCCGCTGGGGTCCCGGCTTTGTTACTGTCTGTCTCTGTGTGTGTGTGTGTTTGTTGCGCCTTTTTGGTGTGTGTGTGCGCATGTATCTGTTTGTTTGCCTGTTTGCCTGTTTGTTGGTCTGTCTGCCTTTGTTTGCAATGTTATTGAGGTGGCTGTGTGTTGTTAGTCTTTGTCGTGATTGCCACTCAGACGCAGGTACTGTAGTGATACCATCTTACTTCATGTTGTGGTTGCATGAACACCGTTCTTGTCAATGAGTTTGTTGATCATTGTCATTGTTAGTCTCATCATCCTCGTCGTGGTCATTGTGTTGCCGCTGCCTCTGCAGTGGTTGTTGTGGTCATGGTGGTTCTTGTTGTTGTCGCGGGTGTTTTGTTCGAGAAGATGTCATCCGTCGCAATGCTTTTGTCAGCATACGTCTGTGTGCAACTTCGCAGACTTCTGTGTATTCGCTGACCCCGCAGGGGATCCCTCACTATCAGGCAACCTAAGAGTAAGCAAGATACCCAGAGTTCTAGACTCCCCTTGCTCAGTCGTTCAAACTCATAGGTCGGAGCATCAGAATCAACCCCCAGCTTCTGCACAAAGAGGTTTCTCTTAATGGCAGGCACTTGTTGTCTCGTTATGGTCAGGGTAAGGATCCTACCCAAGACCTAAACCCGGAACGTCTTGAACCCTGAAGCCTCTGCAGAGCATGTAGCCGAACTGGGAGAAACGGAAAACCAGTCCAAAGCCACTCCAAGCTCACTGCATGTCTATATGGTAGTGATCGTCGTCACACTGTGAGGTGGCGACGGCTCCCGCTGGAAAGTGCCCGGTGTTTGGACAGTCTGGATGAGACTTCGAAGCTTAATGGGGCAACGTTCTCGCAACATTTATAGCACTGATTGGTCTTCAGAGATGCTACAAGTGCCTTGGGGAAACATGTATAATTAATATCTTCCTGTCGTGTCTGCGAAGCTCAAGAAGTGTATGCAGCTGATCTGCAGGTACTTGCCTGACTCCCAGCTGTCGCCTGGGCCCTGTCGACCTCTCTCAGATATGTACTAGCACGGACTGATTTTAGAATGTCGAGTCTTGGCATCGCCCTCCACCCTATAAACCCCTAAACCCTATAAACCATAGACATAGACCTCCATTGCAATGCCAGAGGGAAAAAACCCTAACAAAAACCCTAACCCTGAGGTTTCTTGTTGACTCCGCGGAGGCAGCATGGAATATGACCTGTCGCGTAGGTTGCGGAGGCATCGAAGGCCAGAGGCCGGAGTGACGGAGACATGCTCCCGTTGAAAACCTTTGTAAATACAAATATGCGTATACATGCAATATCATGTAATTTGATATATATATATATATATATATATATATATATATATGTATATATATATATATATATATGTATATGTATGTATACATATTATGCATCTTGATACACATAGTTGTTGATAGATTCAGCTAGTTGACTCTTGTCTGTTTACCTCTGCGTTTATACAGGACTATGCATGCTTTCCGGGTTGCTATGAGAATGAGGGGTTTAAAGTCAATGGCTGATAGGGTTTAGGGCTCAAGGTATGAGGAGGAATTTGCTTTACTGGGTTCTTGTTCAGAGGTTAAACATGTAAGATGCCATAGTAAGGATATATAATCGCTTCCCCCTAACATTCAACCCCCCCCTAATATAAAAACTGCCGGCCCCCGGAATGTCGCGGGTTCGGGCCCCGCATTCAATTTAAAGGGGGCAACATTTGGGGGGGTGGCAGATCTGTATGTGTTTTAATTGAAGGAAGACTACCGTAATACTAAAGACACCAGAGCTTTAGGGTTTAAGGGTTTAGGGCTCACGGCTTTAATTATAGAGGCAAAGATGAATTACAGCAGTACTAAAGAGACACGAGAGCTTCAGGGTTTAAGGGTTTAGGGCTCAGGGCTAAAGCTTTAGGGCTCAGGGCTTTATAAGGCTTAAAGTTTAGGGCTCAGGCCTTTAGGGTTTGGGGCTCGAGGTTTAAGGCTTAGGGTGTTAAGTTTTAGGCTGGACAGGAAATGCTCGCTGTTGACTTGTCTGACTGTCTGACTGTAATTATAATTATTGACTAACTACGTGGATGCCTCATTAATTATTCCTGTCAGTCCGACTCATACCCGCAGGACCCGAAACCCACCCTAATATAAAAACTAAACCTCCGAATTCCAGTTTTTATATTAGGGGGGGGGGAGCGGTTTAATATTAGGGGGAAGGGATTAACATGGTTTCTTTTTTATTGTAACTCAACTCTTTTTTCTTGTATCTCAATTAAATCGCTTAGCAAGAACCCAGTTTAGGCTCCTTGACTCCTTCACTCAAAGCATCCCCGTTCCTGGTGTGTGGATTTCTGCCGAATGCGCAATGATCCCACATCTATAAGAACTCTAGCTAGTACCGCGTGGGCCAATGCGCCCGGCACAGATTCGCAGAAAAACTGCAAAGCCCGAAAAACGCCAGACTTTAGGCAAGGGTTGGTGTCTTCTTATACATCTCCCGTATGTTGCCATGCGTTTCCAGATAGTCTGAGTCCTGTTAGGTATATGGGATATGCACGCTTCCGGGACGAATTTCGCTTCAGGATGGGTGGGTTGTGCTTAGGACTTACTGGAATGCTGTTGCGAAGTAGATGTCTTGAAGTTTAGCGTCGCGTTTCTGCGCTCATCCACTTGTTCCGGAGGGTGCAGTCGTGCTTTTCGAGGTCTACGCTTGCAAAGAACAGTTCCAGCATGCACACATACATCTATACATACATGCATACATGCGTACACCCATCCCTGCACACCTACACAGCCATCCATCTGTGTGTGTGTGTGTTCTACACATGTCTGTAGTCAGCATGCATCTACCTCCTTTAAGGATCGGGTGCTCTTGCGGAGTGTCGGGGGACTTAGTAAGTAGGAAGTGAGTAGTGAGTTCTAAATGCCCTAAAAGGGATCCTAATTGGTGTTATGGCACTTATAGCCTCAGAACATAACTACTATACCCTAAACCCTAAAGCCCCCTCCCCTGACCCTCAAAGTTGAGGGGCGTCTAGCTCTGGAAGGATTCGGGCTCCTTGAAGCCAGTTGTGTGTGAGCTTGAAAGCAGAATTCAGCCTCCAGTTCCCTAAGCCCTTATGAGCCCTACCCAGAGGCCCCATAGTAGTTCCTTTTTGGGGTTCATATTTAGAATTCTATAAGGTAGTCACAAAAAGGAACTGCTATGGGGCCTTATGGGTAAGCCCTTATAATTCCCCAATAGACCCAAGACCCTAAACTTGGACCAGCAGCCTGTCAGTCACCGAGCAGAGAACCATCAGAAATGCGCCGAAACCAGCAACCTTGAAGCTCAGGCTCGTAATGCCCTCCCCGCAAACATCCCGATCAATATTATGATACGTACTTTTGTTCGCTACTGCGGCTGCAACCACAGCACTTTTCCAGGGATGTCGAAGGGAGGTGAACCGCTGTGGGGTTCTGCACGGCGCTTGGAAAAAGAGGATCCCAGGATCAGTGAGAATCTTGTTTCGGAGGTAGGTTCAGGGATTTTCTTTGGTGCAGCCTCGACCGAAGCGACAGCACAAACCCTAAAAAGATTGGAGTCCCGCGGCGCCACGAGTCGCAATTTGTCCATCCTGCAGATGCTCAAGCTCACTGTACAGTCTAGAGCTGTTCCTTCGGGGCCACAGAGTGTCCGTTTCTGCAGTCAAAATGGGTTGGGGCCGTTCCCGTTACAGCATTCTGCCCATTGCGACCGTTGCGGGCATCGTGGTGGTGTGTCAGTTGCCGTATGGCACGAAATCGCCGGTTGAGGAACTAGACGGCCTGGCGGAAGAAGGCTACCTGCCCCACTGGATGGTCCCCGTGATCATAGGGCTGGCAGCAGTGTCTTCGTGCGTTTTCTTGGCCGGATGCTTCTTTTCAGCCAAGATTGCTGCCGGCTTCCTGGTGCCGAAGACTCTTGTCGATCCCCTGATCTACTTGGAGGAGGCGTCCAGTGCTGGGGCTCGACTGCCGCCCAGCCGCTGCTCGCTGTGTTTGTGCCCGCCCTGTGCCATCTCGGGCTATGAGACGGGAGATTTGCTGCTGGGGTCCTGCAGACGGGAGTGGCGTGTCAGCTGGATCCCGGTCTTGGGATCTCTTTATGCTCTTTTTTCATGGCGGCCCCGAGAGGAGAATATCCAGGGTGTGGACTCCCAGCGCACGGTTCGCTGGCCTCTCGCCACCTCCTCTTTGGTGGGCAGTGCATGCGCTATCTCCTTCTGGGAGTCCGGAGACATGATGACAGGCCTTTGTAGAGGAGATGCCAGGCGAGCCCTTTGGTGCACGGTCTTTCTCTGTCCGATGGCCTGGCCTTGCCATGCGCGCTGGGCCTGGGCTCCCCAAATCAAGAACTTCCGACGCACTTCCGGCACAGTGCCAGACGACCTTGTGGGCCAGCCAATGCTCGTACGACAGCCTTCACCGCAGGTGTCCGGAAACTTCCTCGTTTTCCAGGACCAGCACGTCGGGCCTAATGTGAGCTTCCAGCAGCCAGAGCTGTACACGCGTGATCTTGGCCTTTGTGAAACACTCGAGGACTGTGTGGAGACCATGACTTCTGATGTGGACGTGGCGGTATGGAATCCCGACACCAAATCACTGAGAGCCTTGGCAGTACCGCAACGAGCCATGTTTTCGGTTCCCTACCACACAGCAGTTGGCATGACGACTCTGCAAAAGAAGTGGATACCTCTCCACACACAACACTTGGACCTCTCCCACGGACCCAGAGTACACTACTTGGGAAGCCTCGGAACGGCTTGGACGAGCCAGGAGTGCTTAGAGCTTTTGCTGAAGCATCCGAAGGCCAACTACGCTGTGTGGCTGAGGGAGCAGGACCACGTGCTGCACATCTTCGACATTTCCCCTAAAGTAAATGCAAAGGCGTTGCGATTCTACAAGCAGCCCGGGGTCACAAGCTTCAGGTCTACGGCTCAGGTGCGCAGTCCGGAGCCCTAAAATCTAATTACCATCGGCCTCATTGGAGTGGATGTAAAGTTGTAGAGTTGAAGCAGTGTTCCCAGAACCACCCCGGAAGGATCTATGAGACAGGTTTCGTACCTGCTTTCTGTAGGGGCTTGACCCTGATCCGTTACATGCCTCCTTGGGGTGGGTTTGAGTCTGCAAGGGAACAGCTCCTTGATTTTGGAAGCCAGAGTTATGTCATAGAGCAGTGGATCTTGCATAGGTGTAGTAGGTAGTTAAGTACAGCCTACTCTGGCAGGTGAGGCTTTAGTACGCCAAAGCATAGTTCAGTGTTCATCTCATCACATCCTTTATAGGTAGGTCCCCGCCACCCCACAAGGGGTCGCTTGGGCCAGTGCCAACACGGGAAGTCCCCTCACAAGCGACTTCGAGAAGAAAAGAGCTCGGAGTGCCGAGTAGCGTGCCGCGTGGTAAGGTGGGAGGCGTGAGACCGATCTAGCACGTCTAGTTAGCCTTTCTCCCTTCGTGCCTCGCACTTGATGTTTCGCCCGATACACTGTTCACCTTGGATCTGAACTCCCGATGCTCCGGAAAACCCGAGAAACCCGGCGTGGCGAAGCCATCACATGCACCCCCCGCCATCAGTCCATTCAACGGTTGCTGAGTTGTTCTTTGCATCCTGCCAGCCCCTGCATGCGCCCCATATCGGTAGAATAGTCGTAAAGTTGGGGTTTCCGAAAACTGGGGGGTACCTTATTTAAGGATCCTTATAACAAGGATCTTATCACTATTATTATTGTTATACCTATTATTAATTAATATTAATTATTATTAGTATTATTACTATTATTGTTAGGGTCGCCTATTTTCGGAAACTCCCATTTAGTAATCCGCTGCATCGGACCGGTGGTTTCCAGGTGGGGAGGCGTTCAGGTGTCAAGTCCGGGTGTCTTACCCAGAGAGCCCAATACCCCTTAATTAAGGAAAAGGGCTAAGGCTCCTTTAAGGGATCATTTGAGGGATCTATAGCTCTAAGGACTCATATTTCGGTGCCTTTGGGCCTAAAGACCATATTATTTAAGGCTTCTGGGCCATTTTGAGCCTTAGGGTTACCCAGAGAGCCCAGTACCCCTTAACTAAGGAACATGGCTTAAATTATATAGGGCTTCATATTATGATTTTAACCTGTATTCCTTAAGCAAGGGGTATTTGGCTCTCTGGGTATACCCGGTCCCTAACTCATCCAAGCGCGCAGATTACAGACTGCCTCATGCACAAATGAAATGCAGCGGCTGGGTTGCTCTATAGGCATGTAGCTTCATAGATACATGCTTCTTGGGATTCATGCTTCTTGGCTTACAGCTGTCGTTCGCAGGGCGCATCATTAATGCCAGCAAAACAAAAGTCAGATGCCCTTTTGCAGCCGCACTTGCTTAGTTTGGCAGGGCGGCAGTCGTAGTGTGCTTTGATTTGAAGGGGATGCGGGACGCAGAGACTCTCGCAGGACAAGGTTTGTACAATGCTGTAAATGCTTTATCTCAATCAGGCATTGCACCCACAGACACCCACAGACCCAGTAACTCGTCCCTCTATACAGATTAACAGCTCATGCCATGCTTGCAGAGCTGAGAATGAGCTGGCCCATGATGCCACGAGGCTTCCGCAAATCAGATTCCCAGAGAGCCCAATACCCCTTAATGAAGGAATATGGCTTAAATTATTTAGGGCTTCATATTATGATTTAAGCTGTATTCCTTAATTAAGGGGTATTGGGCTCTCTGGGTTCCGAATGTCCAAGACAGCCGGTCACGACGGGGTTGCAGGGATTAGCTGGTGGTTGTTTTGTCGGCATGCCCACAGTTGCACCAAGAAACAAACAATCATCAAGTTTCCGAGGGCACCCTTCGGTCGATGCTATTGCATCCCCTTGTGTTGATACTGGACCCCTCAAGCACGATCCATGTGCCTGTGCATATTCCCATGTCCCTGCTGACGGTGCACATCTGTGCTGCCAGACGTATGAGCAAAGCCATCACATGTGCTGCGGATCGCGCACACGGGGTTGGTTCTGAGTCTCGAAGAGGAATCGCTTTGGGGCTGGGAGCCATCTGGCTGCAGAGTCTGACGCTGGGCCTCGCCTCGCGGATGCAGAGCAGGTTCTAGGGGGGATGGTGTCAAGGCCAAAGCCTAACCAGGTTCGGTCGTGATTCCCTGGTGGGGAAGTTCGAAGCGTGTTGAGCCCGCGAAGATGCGTGGGCACAACACGTTTCCGGAAAATCAGTGCATCCTGATTTCGACCCCTCCTGGAGGTGGCAGCTACTTCCACCTTAAACCATTACAGTAATCCCGTCACTATACACCAAGCCCCAGACCCAGAAAGCTACTGCATCAGCTTTACAAGACAAGGCTGCGCCTATCTTGAGCAGAAGTTGTGCACATGAAGGCTTCGGCAGCCTGGCGATGGCACAGGAAATAGGTCTTGCTTCTTACCAGTCTTATGTGTGGATGCCCTGTCTTAAACTGGGTGTTTCTGAAGGCGGGTATGCATTGTCTTAAAAGTTTTGTTCCTGAGGAAATGAGGGTAAGACGTATGTAGACTTCCTCAAGAAGTGTTGGGGCTTGGCTGTGGGGTGTTCCGTAAACAGGCCTCGCATGTTGCTTTGGGCTCCAAACTGGGGGCTGCCATCCGACCTTTGACTGAGAGGGTACGACACATCACGCAACAGGAGAGACTAGAATGGGTTTGGGGTTTATAGGGGTTTCGGGTTTTAGGGTTTGTGGGGGTTTATGGTGGTTTAGGGTTTTGGGGTTTTTGGGGGTTTAGGGTTTTAGGGTTTGGGGGTTTAGGGTTTTGGGGTTTAGGGTTTTGGGTTTTAGGGTTTAGGGAATGTCCTCACGTGCTGACAGCCAAATCCTCGGTTTCCGGCCGGCAATAGAGCAGGGAGCGGCTAAGGTTATGATGATCCGGATCACCCCGACCTGAACGGCGGGTATGTTGCGGATTACAACGTATGCCAGTGCTACGGTTGCAGTGTGGGCTTGGGAGTGTTTTGCATTTTTTGACAGAGCCAGAGCAATGCGATAGCCCCTAAACCCTAAACCCTAAATTGGTGAACTGGTACAAGAGAGAATCCGGTCGAGCAATGTATTACACCGACTGCGCACCTCGCCTGGCTAAGTCCGAGTTGTGAGAGCGTAAACCCCAAAATTGAACTTTTCCGAAGCCTCCTCGCCTTGCTAGTGATTTCCGGTGTTGCCGCGGTGGGGTCAGCCCGAACCAATGCCGTTCTGCTTCATTCAGAGCCGGCTCAGAGCCATGTGCCGTGGAGACATGTGGCGAGTCTCAGATCTGAGGAACACTTGCCGGAATACGTTTTACTGCGCACTTTGGCTTGCAGAGAAAATCTTGGATGAGCATGGATGAAAAATGTCCATGCATGGCCAACTGTGATTCTGCTTTTAGCTGCTAGCAGTGGTTGATGCGATGCTTTTCGGACGTGAGCAAGATGTAGAACTCCTGCGAACTGTCCCTGTCCCGAAGAACCCTCCCAGGAGGTCTTCACCTACTTTGAGGACACCAAAGTGCTTCGGACTGCAAAGCCGAACGATGGGCGCTGGACTCTGGTGACGTCCGGTCCCAGCCCAGTCTGGAAGTCGGAGATCGAGCAATAACAAGAATAAGAGCAGTATAATAACTCTTATAAGAATACAATGAGTTTAAATTCTAACAATGACAATGCAAATCATATAACTATCAGTACATAATATGAATGGTGCTAATAATAAAAATATAGTAATAATAGTACTAATATTACTAATAAATGTAGTCCTTGTTATGCGCTATCTCCTGACGTAGAAACCAGGCTTGCTGGCTTCATGGCAGCAGCGCAGTGGCGAGGCCCGGCAGATGACATAGCGGTGCGACTGTCAACTTTGGAAAACTCGGGAGCGGCATGCAGAGGAGATCCGACGGGATGCCTCATGGTCTCGCCTTGTGCATGCCTGTAGCACCGCAATTGTGAAGCCTAAAGTCTAAAGCATACAGTGGGAAGTCAACCAATCGCTTCAAGCAACGAAGGCTGATTGATTAAGAAATGCAACATGGTAACGGCTCTTATGTACATTGACAGTTTTGATATCGCCCATAGAAGTGATTATTTTTCAGCTTGGTGAAGGCCGATGAGCAACGCTTTCAGCGCTGAGCGATGGTGCGATTTGAGCAAAGCCACCATGTCGGCAAGAGTTCAGGTGTTTGGTCTAGGTGTGGGGTCGGAGGGTTTGGGGCGGGTCGGGCAATAGGATTCTAGATTGTGCGAGATTGGGCTTCTCCTTTCAGTTTGAGGAGCTTGAGTGCAAGAGTCTGGGACTGTTGGCGGTATCGGGTGGCTTCCCGACAAAACCAAAAATTACCCCAAGACGTCGGATCGATTTGATAGCTGTTACTGGCCAGAAGACGCTCCGGAGCCAGACAGCCCGAACAGGAGAGCATCCACAAGGATCAGCAGTTGTCCTTGAAACCTTTTCTTGACGCCAGCACATGATTCAAAACAAAGCATTACTTGCAGGGGCTGAAACTCGAGCTCGGAGCACCCTCGCGTACTTGCGGTTAGCTGTCTCAGAAGACGATGTTTCCTGGACGTTTCAGGCACTATGCGGACCTTGTGAACGGTATCCGAAAGCGAACAGTCCTACAGCCCCAAACGACCTCAAGAAGCCCGAGACCCTATTCTATGCCATTACAAGTCATATTCACCCTAACAAGAGCCCTGCTCGAGGTAATATAGGGCCCCTATGCTGTAGCGAACATCCGCAGCCCCAAATCCTCAACTGTCCTGAGCCTGGATCTTGCGAGACGGAAAAGGGACGTTCCACAAATCCAACTGTCCCAAGACCTCCTCTGATCTGCTGAGGTCTCAAAGAACTCCCAGGCCGATTGTAGCTTTCCTTCGAAGTGTGCACCTTGAAGTGGCGCTTGCCTAGCATCTACACATACGTACATACATGCCAATATTGCCGAAATCCTTGAGGGTTTG